TGTGTTTGTGGTTGTGTGTTTGTGGTTGTGTGTTTGTGGTTGTGTGTGTGTGGTTGTGTGTTTGTGGTTGTGTGTTTGTGGTTGTGTTTGTGGTTGTGTTTGTGGTTGTGTTTGTGGTTGTGTGTTTGTGGTTGCGTGTTTGTGGCTGCGTGTTTGTGATTGTGTGTTTGTGGTTGTGTGTTTGTTGTTCTGTTTGTAATTGTGTGTTGAGGTCCGGCGGGGAACGCTGGGCACGGATGGTCGTGGTTGAGGTCCGGCAGGGAACACTGGGCGTGGATGGTCGTGGTGGAGGTCCGGCGGGGAAGTCCGGCGGAGGAGGACGAGGGCAAGAGGAGAGGGAGGAGGAGGCAGAGGAGGAGGAGATGGGGCTGACATAAAGTCTAACAACCCTCACCTGATAGGTGGGGAACAACAACAACAACAGCAACAAGAACAACAACAGCAACAGCAACAGCGACAACAAACAACAACAAACAACAACGAGCAACAACAAACAACAACAAACAACAACAAACAAACAACAAACAAACAAACAAACCAACCAACCAACGAACCAACGAAATAAACAAACAAACAATAACCAACCAAACAACCAAACAAACAACCAACCAACAAACAAACAAGAACCAACAACAACAACCAACAACAACAACAACAAAAACACCAACAACAAGGTACAAACAAAAACTGCAGCCCCGTTACAAGATATCTTGTTCCTTTGTCTCTACAAGGGGGTGGAAACAACATCTGCAGCCCCGTCGTTGTTATTTTGACCCCCCCACCCGAAAACAACCAGCCAACATGTACTTTCACCAGCCTGCGACGATGTGCTTCTTGAGGCAAGTATTCCTTGAATGTCACGTAAGTATTCCTTGAATGTCACGTTCAATGTTCATGTCACTGTCCATGTCATGGTCTATGTCCACGATTTGGGAATGTGTGTGCTCGGTTGTTTGTTTTTGTATTTGGTATAGTCTGTGGTCTAGTCAGTCATAAAACACTTATGTATAAACATGAAAAAATCCCACAAGGTGCAGGAGCTTGTACAGCAGGAGCCGGGACAGGAGCCGCCTTGAAATTAGCTTTGAAATCAGCGGCTGGGACAGCAGGAGGGGCTTTGAAACGGGGGGCTGGATGGATCGTCACAGCCCTGGCGGCATGGAAACCAAGTGCTGGATGGTGCGGAGGGTTCGAACCAGCTGGCACATGGGCAGCAGCTGAATGGAAATAAGCTGGAGGGGCTTTAGACGATGGGGTGGGCGAGGTAGAAACACACCTGGAGCATAAACATCCGGCATCGCAGGGGGCGTCCCAGCACCATGGTCACCACAGTCACGAGCCATGGGGCGATTGATGGGGAGATTGAGAGATTGCGATGCAAAATGCAATTGGGCTTGGGCCACAATGATGGAAACGGTCTCCCAACTAACAAGGCATTCCAAAATCATAAAGGTCTCCAGATGTGCAACTGCTCCCGGGAGTAACCATCATCTCCACATCCTTATATATATAATATATATATATACATATGTATATGTATTTGTTAATTATTATCTAGTCATGGTGGACTCCTCTCTGACTGGGCGACTGGTCCTCCTCGGAGCTCCTCTTGTTCCATGGGCGGGCATCCCACTGGGCCACTGGTCCTCCTCGTACTTCTGCTTGTCTTGTTCGTGGGCATAGTCATGGTGGACTCCACTCGTACTGGGCCACTCGTCCTCCTCGTACATCCTATAGAGACAAAAACTGCAGCCCCGTTGTTGTTTTTAAGGACCCCCCCCCTCAAAAGATGCTGTTGTCTCTACCCCCCGCTAGAAACAAAATCCGCAGCCACGTTGTTGTTTTTTTGACCCCCCCCTCCAGAACAACACCCCAAAAAAAATCAAAAAACAAGAAACAGACCAACCAAGACTTGAGTACCACAACGACAAGAAGTCCAGCTACTAACATCTCTCCAAACCTTCGACCCAATCCCCAACAGTGTCCAATTGAAACCCGTGACTTGCAACATGTGACAACTATGTTGGGCAGCTGTCTTTGTCTCTACCACCACCAACAACAACAACAGCAACAGCACCAGCACCACCATCACCACCAGCACCAGCAGCAGCAGCAGCAGCAACAGCACCAGCACCAGCACCACCAACACCACCAACACCAACACCAACACCATCACCACCACCACCAACAACAACAACAACACCAACACCACCACCAACAACAACACCAACACCACCACCACCACCACCGCCAACACCACCACCACCAACAACAACAACACCACCACCACCAACACCACCACCAACACCACCACCACCACCAACAACAACAACTTCTTCTCACGCGCCCGGAGGGTTGCGCAGCCATCACTGACGTTCATGTCAGCGGACTCCACTAGCGAGATCTTTGTATGGCGTAGCCTTTTCAGGCATGGTTGCATCAGTTAGCAACTGGCATTCATTCATCGAAAGAATTGAACGTAGCCCAATGCCATCATCTATGTCAAAATTCAAACCTGTGCTTTGGGATTAGCTCAAAATCAGCGGAGGCTGAGAGCAGGCAAAAACTCACGAACCGCTAAAGAAAGCAGGTGGGGAATCACCTGAGAGATAGGTCTGTTCAAACAGGCCTCACTAGGGGCTCAGTTGCGTTCAGGGCAAGGCGCATGGCCGCACAGCAGCACCAGGCATCAGCGCGCCCCGCCGCCAG